TATATATATACATGTATATATATATACATGTATATATATATATATATACATGTATATATATATATATATATACATGTATATATATATAGTCATTTAAATAAAAAAATTAATTAATCAGTTAATCAAAACAGATTAATCAATGTTAGGTATGTTCAAAATGATTAACTATTTTTTTTCAATTTGATTCAGTTAGACCCATTCCGTTCCGACCTTTTTCAACACCCCCTACAGAAACGAAAGTGAACGCATAGCAAGGTTGTGAAAGATTACTGACTTGAATAATTGTTCGGAAATGTCGTGTTCAATAGAACGTCGAGGAATCGGCCTCCGTGTTGACCACAACAAGCTGACATATTATACTCTCGTTCTTGCCCGGTGAGCAACTTAGCAGGGAGATGCCTACAGATTTCGAAGCTCCACCGCATGTAAGTTTACGATGCCATTGATTATTCTTCATGCTACTCCGCTTTAATTATGGCTAGTCATCTATGCAATCCCAACTTCAAGCAACCTGAGATTTTAATGTAGCTGATAATAGAAACCTTAGTCCGACGAGACATTTTAGTGATTACTACATTATATACGCAGTTAGATGAACGAGAGTTCACATCTTATTTTAGGCATGTATAACACAAATACGTGAGAATGTAATACTTATATGGAACGAGTAAAAAATTACAAAAACAAAACAAAACAAAATGAAAATCTAATTAGAAGACAACTGAAAAGGCTAAAGACATCACATCCACAACTAACAAAAGGACAGACCAATTATATCAACATTTGTAGTTCAGTGAAATTAATTATTAAATTCATAGGGTTGGAGTGCAGTATCTGTATAGAGTAACACTGATGATCCCCACTTGTTACCTCTTGATCTAGGAAACATCATACTGATTATAGTCCACCATCGGAATCCATCCACAAGCTGCGCATGTATCATCAAGGAACAGAAACATCATACCGACTATAGAATAAACATATTTCATCAACGAGCCATGCACTCATCCTGCAAGTCGGTTTAGGCCTGCAACATATACTTGGGAGAACCACTTTCAAGATTATTTGGTCACTTGCTAAACCAATAAATAGGTCCACCAATAAACCAATTCAATGCTGAATGTAACAGTCAAGCAGTTACCATCAAGCTTATTCTCAAAAATAAGAAAACAGAAAACAAAACAAAAAAAAGATAGCAATTCTGTGCTTTTGTAGCATGAACAAAATGATTAATTCTCAGACTCAGTTAACCGAACATCACTTACATGAATCTAAAATCTAGTAACAAGGAGCTACTAATGTCAAAATGGAGATAAACAATTATTTTTGAATATAATGAATTATTAGCTTTTCAACATCAAAAAGATATTGAAAAAACAAAAAAAGTTCATTTCATTGAGTTTGTTCGGGCATGCTAGGCTCTCCGAAGCAGTCCATACTCATGGACAGCATGTTCTAGCTGAATCTTTGGCAGGCTGCATCATTGATGGGCTAAGTCAAACAACATAAAAAAGTGAAAATAAAACATTTCAGCAAGGTTATTCCTCTCCAAGGAATAACTTCTTTTTTAATTAGATATTGCGATGTATAAAACAAGAATGTATGTGGCACCAAAGCGTGGTGAAAGAACAGGAAATTATTGCAGCAAAGTAGTGTGAAAGGCACTTGTGTTTGTCTATATCAGTCACTTAAATATACAAAGCTTGCACAGACCTTGAAAGATGCTATAAACATATCCACTCAGTTACTGCATAAGAAGATTATTCACAGTAATATTGATGTTGTTGCTTCTCAGCAAATCCTGCACAATAGATACAAAAAAAGAAATCAATAACCTTTGGTGTTTCTGGAAAATAAGAATGCAACAAAAACAGTGAAAATACCTGTACAATAAGTTCATCCGGAATGTGTGGCAAAACCTCACGTACTCTATCTACCATAGCAAGTAACTCTGACATATTGTTTACAGAGGGTGAAGCATTCCTAATACGTTGACCAGCAGCATTTCTGTTCAACCTAATGGAAGCAGATGAAGGAATAGAAGGAATTGAGGTATGCTGAGAAGACCATAGATTCCAAGCAGCATCATCTAGAGAACCATGAGCGAAGTTTTCACTGACAGACGCTAGTTGCCTCATCATCATTTGAACCCCACCAAAACCTACTGGTCTGACTGAACTTGATGAACTAGCACCATCCACTCCTTGATTCACCCATGGAGGTGCCAAACTGGAATCAAATGCAGCTCCCCTGCACAACGAAAAGGTATATCACAATTCAACAAAGGCGTAAACAGATATGACACCACCATAGATGGGCTGACTTTTTTTTTTATTAGCCAATGAAGAAGCAAACAAAAGGATGTTTCTGAATTCCATGAACCTCAAATATGACCATTACAATAATGGCACATCTACTTCAGCTAAATGTCATCTCAACATAAAATTCAATTAAGTTCCACTTGGATTGCCAGTCAGGGTATATACTATTCCTCATGTGTAATTGGAGTCTCATTTTCCTAGTTATGTTTTCAAGTTGGCCTGTGATGGATAGCTGGAGAGGGTTATAATCAGGTGACCGTTCCCTCATGATTACCAAAGAAACTGAAATTCCACTGAAGAATATACTTGAAACAAGAAAGCCAATATACAGTAGCACTAGAGTCGCAGTATTTAGGATGCAAGTGTTATTGGCTACACCAAAATCCAACTCTGATGTTTAGATTCAACCAAAAATGTACCAAAACTTTACCCAAACCTGGAACTGGAGATCGACATAAGATAAGTTATACAAAATAAGAGAACTCAAGTGCAACAAGACATTGAACAACTGAAGTCCAATAATATAGATAACATAGAAGCATGCAACCAATGAATCTCAAATCAGTACAAAAATTCAGCTATAAAAAATTTTCCACATCAGCAGGGTGTATCATGTTGCAACAAAGAAGCATATTATGATCACAAAATATTGCTTATACACGAAAACAATCATAACATGCAAGGACCATAAAGATGCAACGATACTAAACCTCCAGATTGTATCAGAAGTATTCTGTTGCTGGTTTGGAGATGATCCTAGAGGTAGTGCTTGACCAGGAATCCTCTGTTGGTTCAATCTTAAACTTAGATGTTCAGCAAGTTGCTGGTCATCTACTCCATTTCCAGGAACGGACCTTGTGTCACCTTGAGGATTAGAAACAAAAAGAGGCCTCCGACATGTAGGGCAAGAATACACTTCAGTCAAACCCTGGTCCAACCTGGAATGTTATGCAATGCAAAAAGAGTACGTTCAAGGGCAAAGACTGATAATATCAAACTAATGAACAGAACACTAACTTTACAAATGTTAAACATACACTACTATCATATATAAGGAACTAAGTAGTTAACTTCACAACCAAAGTGTAAAACTATATCCTCTCAAGATAAAATCGACAAGTAAATGTAACAATATAAGCATTATGTATTAGCTTCAAAAAATGAGGTTGGTTAATTATCAAATCTAGTTAAACCTCCTTATCTGACCTATGCTCCCTTAAAGTTCAAACTCCAAACAGTAGTAACTGTGAGGGAACTCACAAGAAAAAGTTACTAGTTACATGTCAATATTTAAAATGATTTTAAGGGATTCATCAATTAAACTATAGGAAAATATGTGTACTACTAAAATGCATTAAATAGCACAAAAACTTTAGCCCAATAACAATAATTTTCAACTTCTTTTCAGATTTGGCAAAGAAGAATCTAATTTACTTGTAAAATAGGCTTTGAGACAAATCCAATCTGTATTCTTTAGTTGTAAAATATACATGTGCTAGCACTCAAATAAGTATAAGATTCAATCTCTTACTCCATATAGGATCGAGAAGTCAATTTTTCATTGTCGTGTTTAACAAAGGTTTAAACATAGTTCGTGGTGTGGCCAACCAAAATATAATACATTGATACATCCAAACTGTATCTACAATGTCTAAGACTGATCCAATCTTGAGCCCTTTTTTTTCCTTTATGACAAAATATTTATCGAAATCGACAACAATGGCCAATTTTGTTAATCCTAGACCATCTGACAGTCTCAAATGACGAAAAAAATGGAGAGAAGTGGAAGGCAAGGAAAGAAAAAAGAAACTAAGTTAAGGCGACATAAACATAAAAAAGAGACGTATCCAATGCACGAGAATCCCAACTATGCAGGGTCTGAGGAGGGTCAATATAATGCTTAAAAGCAGCGACATAAACATAAAAAAAGGTATACCCAGTGTTTAAGGTGACATAAACATAAAATAACTAAAACAAAGATGACACCA